GTTAAAAAGTGGCAATCTTTTTTTAAGTGGAAAAGATTTCCTATGCTATTTTAAGAAAATTCAAGGACTCAAAGGTACAGCACAAGTACAAATAATGGCAGGGTATCTAAGAGATAGTACTAAGTTATAAAAAGTAAGGTGCAGGCCAGGCATGGTGGCTTACACCTGTAATCCTAGCATTCTGGGAGGCTGAGGAGGGTGGATACCTTGAGCTCAGGAGCTCGAGACCAGTTTGAACAACCGGCGGATGCCATCTCTATTAAAAATGAAAAACTGAGGCAAGAGCCCAAGAGTTTGAAATTGTTGTGTGCTATCTGCCAAGGGCAACAAATTGAGACTGTCTCAAAAAAAACAAAGCAGAAAGTTCATAGAAAAAATATGCTTCTCTATGTGAATATTTTATACAGACATCTGGATTAAATTACAAATAAATGCTCCATTGGGAGGAGAACTAGGAGATTGGGGGTTAGACATGTAAGAGAGACTTTTACTCCACACTATTTTATACTGTTTCCAACTTCAAAAATATGTGCACCTATTACTTTAAAAATATTAAAACACCATAAAACATAAAAGCAAAATATTAATGATCGCTTTGAAGGTCTATTTTTTCCAAGGAGAAATCTTTTTGCAAAGCACTCTTAAGACACCTAAATTATGTTTGGCCCTATCTAAGCTGCAATATGCCATTTTAGAGAAATTTAACAGAGTCAAAACATCTTTCTGAAATTATCTTTTCATATAGTCAGATAACATTAATAGCAGAGCAATAATAATTCAAACATTTTCTTTTTTTTACACAAGCTCACAAATTCTAATGCATCCTACACGTTACTGCCAGATTAATCTTCCCAAAACAATGTTTTACTCACTGCCCTACTCAAAACCTCTCTTCAGTGACTCTCAATGCTTAGAGCGAAGAATCTTCCAGTTTCCTTAATTTAGAAACAAGATTTCTAGTATGATTTTGTAGGACTCTCCTAAACAGGGATAAACATTAGTTGGACTTATAATTTCCTCAAAAAGGTCTTGCCTTTTTTGCATTTGGGCCTTTGCCCAAGTTGTTTGTTTATATATACCCCACCTTCTTCATCAATTGTCATTTTACCCATATTCCAAGACTCATCTTAATAATATTTCCTCCATGATATCTCCCTCTTCAAGTGTTCTATCCCTAACTGGATCTTACTACTACCATATTAATCTATGATTATTTTTATGCTTTATCTTACTTTCCTACTTCACAGGTTTTAGGTTCACATGGGGTAAAAACTATCTTATTTACCAGAGCATTATGTTTGCGCTGCACAATTGCAGAGAAGATTTAATACATAAATATGATTGGGAGAAGTTAAAAACAAAGAATTGACAACTTCATTGATGTTAAAGTCTAAGTAATTGATAATAGAGCCTTTCCTCATTTTGACAAAATACAAAAGACAAAAGTAGACTAATAGGGGAGAACATAAGAACGGAAGGTTGAAACATGGCAATTTTTATTTTTACAATTTTTCCCAAATTTATTCTACTGATATGTAGTGTAGTGATGGATATATAAACCTGAATACATGGAAGCAGTTGTGTTTACTAAATGAGTAAGAAACAGTTGTTTTAAAAGAGAATTATTTGACATTGCAAATAATACTTCAATAATATGTATACAAGTATTTCTATAAGAAAAAAAGAGAAAATTCTACGTCTTGAAATTTTGATACAGAAATCCTTATAGATCAGATTTTTTTCTCTGAAAACTATGTGACCTTTCATATTGCTACTTTTCCTTAGTTGTCAAGATATAAACTTGGCCCTCAATTGCAAGAGTCATACTAACACAGATTTGAAATATAATCCCTCTACTTCCCACCTTCGGATTCTATGCACTTTTCCTTAACCCGTTTTGGAAGAAGATAGGTTGCCAATTATTATAAATTATCTTATTTTGCAGATAAAAATTCACTAGTATTTTTCCCAACTCAGGTAATTGTATCACATTCCAATTAAATATCTGGCCAAATACCTACTGGGAGATAAAGGCAAGAGGTGTTGTCACATTTTATGTTACTGTTAAAAATATTCAGTAGGTTCATTCATTCATCTCTTAAACAAGTATCTATCAAAGGCCCAGGATAGGATATATATGCATGGCCTTCTTCTATTCACTGGAAATAAATTGGTATTTAAAACAGTCTTGCCCTCCTAGAGCTAAATATTCAATGAAAGTGACAGATAAACTAATAAACATTTATTCAATAGAACAAAAAATAGTGATAAATGGTATGAAGGGAAAAGGCTAGTGCAAGAAGAGTGACTTGGTGGTAGGAAAACCCAAAGCTTAAGTATAAATAAAATCAGAGAGTGAGCCATGCAAATTGTTGGGTGGATGAACTTGCCAAGAAGAGAGTACAATTAGAGCAAGACATAAAGCTGTGAAAACAGAATGCTGACCATGTTTGAGGTCAAGTAGAGCACGTGGCTGGAGCACAGTGAGTAAAAGGAAAAATGGTAGCAAATGAAGCAGAAGGAACCAGGGGATAAATCTTATATATCTCTGCAGATCCTGAAAAGATTTATTTTGTTCATAGTGCGAAGCTATTGAACAGTTTTATGGAGGCGGATAGTGAGATCCGTCGGCTTGCTGTGTGAAAACTGTAGGCAAGCTAGAGTGGAAGTGAGAGAACTATTTGGAGAAGAATGCGATTGTCCAGGAAAGGGATAATGGTGGCTTGGACTCGGGAGGTAGATCTTGAAGACAGGGATAAAACGATCAAAGGATGATGATACTGAGTTTTGTGGCAGGTGGATGGTTGTGCCATTCAATAAACCGGGAAAAAAGAATAGTACAGTTTTAGAGGAAAAAAAAAATCAGTTGTTCTGTTTAAGATTGTTGCGAGATGACCAACTGGAAATGTACAAATGTCCCAATGTCTGTACATTGGGAGCTGAAAGAATAGTTTCAGGACAGATATAAGTTTGAGAACCATTAACATAGAGATGGTACTTTAAGCCACTAGACTGGATGAAATCACCTAAGAGGAAAATATACAGAGAAAGGAGGTTCAGGGAACAAAAATGAGTTAATTGTATAAAATAAATGACATCTGCAAAACTAAATAAAATACATAAATGTATGGAGTGAGCTGGATGCTTACTGATTAATACAGACAAACTCTAGCGTCTAATAGAAGAGTGAAGAAAGGGAAATCAAACTTAGAGCTATGGCTCAATTTTCTCTGACACATTGTACATATAATGTCACTGTTAATCTACATGCTCCTCTTATCCTTCTTATATAATCATCCTGAAAGTGTAAAATGTTTGCCAATTTATCTTATCCCTACATCTTACAAAATGAAAATTTATCACATTTACACAAGAAATCTAATTAACTCTCTTGCAGGTAGGTGAAATCATCTGTATGTAACTGAGTCTCTGCCAAGATTTTTTGAGGAGAGGTGGCTATATCAACATAGCATTTCTATAAATTTTATTATTTCTTTCTTTCTTTCTTTCTTTTTTTTGAGACAGTCTGTCTCACTATGTCACTCTCAGTAGAGTGCCATGGCATCACAGCTCACAGCAACCTTAAAATTTGGGCTCTTGCCTCAGTCTCCCAAGTAGCTGGGACTACAGGCACCTGCCACAATGCTGGCTATCTTTATTTCTTAATCCAGGGGTCCTCAAACTTTTTAAACAGGGGGCCAGTTCACTGTCCCTCAGATCATTGGAGGGCGACTGCGGGCCTTGGGATGAGTCAGCTGCTAAGCAGGACAGGCAGCAGTGGCAAAAACACCCAGCGGTCGGATAAATGTCCCAGGCGGGCCGCAGTTTGAGGACGCAATTTTTATGTTTATCCAGTAATCTTATTTTCTACATATAGGTTTTAATGTCAATTCATGATTTGGTTCAAACTTGAGGGTAGTACTTTACATAAAAAAATAACTTCACCAGAAAAAGCTATAAAAAAGTAGAAAAATATTTTACACCTACGGTGAATCTTACAAGGGTTCATGTGAAATTTACTAAGTGTAGAATATAAATGTCTTAACAGAATAATTAAGAAAATGCTGTGAAGGCTATGTTAACCAGCATGATGAAAATATTTCAAATTGTATATAAAATCAGCACATTATACCCCATGATTGCACAGTCATGATTTAATAAAAAAAAAAAGTAGAAAAATACTATGCAATTTTTATTCACAAATGTTCTATTCCCTATAAACATATCCCTTTTGAGCTGTATTTCCTTTAAACAGCATAAAATTCTTTACAAAGATGATTATAGTAAGAACAGTTTCATATATAAATGTTTGTATATATATAATCCTCATTTTTTAGATGCTACCTAGATGTGTCAGCATATGCATGCTGTGAACAGCATATTTTAACAATGGTAATCACTCTATAATTCACCAGGTATCTAAAATATAACAGAATGGCTATCTTAGTTTGATTTTACCATGTATTAAATAAATGAATGGGAATTATTTTCTAACAACATGAGGGTTGTCCAGAAAGTAACCAGCCATGCATGCCTCTAATTTTCATAGTACATAGCTAGATACTTTCTGGACAGCTCTCATAAATGTTACTTTGGAGTAGAAATATTTAGTAACTGCTTAATGACTTGGGGGAAAACAACAGTAATAGGAAGTATTTCATACCTGCTTTATGGCGGTTACTGTTATCACAAAGAATAAAGGAAGCCCACTGGTAATTGGACTGGTAGGTGTATCAATCATAAGCTAGATTTAAAAAAAAAAAAGAACACAGAGTCTTATATTTTTATATTATACACGTCACACTACTAATATCTAAAATCTAATACTATTAGGCAATAGCCATAATTTTAGTTCACGATTTCACTTTGTTGGCTATTAAATGGGGTTGGTAGAATACTTAAATCTATTGGCTAGTCACACAGGTTTCTAGAGTGAATTCAGTCACTCTGCTGGCTTAACCTATGGCATCCTTAAGGTTTTCCTCAATCTAGACCCAGGAGTGGAACGACAGCTGCTCAGATCACATTCTTTGCACATAATAATAAATGCTGAAATTTGTCAGCAATTTTTGCCCTGGGATTCAAAATAAACTCACCTCAGTAGTAGGGGAAAAAGAACTAGAAATGGTACCATAGAAAGGCTTTTTTCTACAGGTGAAGCCCTTTTTCTTACATCCAGCAGAGCCAGAGGGGGACAGCTAGGAAAACGATGCTACAATTATGATTTAAATCATACAACTAAGGTTTCAACAAACTGCTGGAGAAATAAATATTTGAAGTAATTCTATGTGGCTAGTTAGTACATAGCTCTAGTGAGGTATTAATGTTCCTTTACTCTGATAGGTTAATTAAATTTGTTCTTTTCCATAGACAAGGTGAATTCCTGATTTCAGGCAGTATTTTCACAATTGCAGGCATGTTATGTAGATATGGTTAACATAAATTTCTTGCTTTTCCAAGAAAATCAAGATGATGTTCTATTGACAGAAAATAAGAAGTTCCTTGTTGGTCATAAAGAAAAGCAATTTTATAAAAAAGCAAATATTTCCTAAAGTTCTAAAATGATCACCTGACAAGTTTTAATTTTTCTTTTAAAACTGCAGGTTCTACTAGGAGAAAAGTGTGGAGCCTATACAAAAATTCAGTGCCACAATGAAATAAGCTGCTAAAGTTGTATGAGATTAATAACTTCTTAAAGGAAAGGTGACAATCACTATTTTTAAAATCTTGACTTATAATTAAGTTTCACAGGCTGTTCCTTTGATATTTTGATATCAATATTAAAGCACAATGTGAAAATTAAGAAACTGCCAAATGGTCTATATTGAATATAAACTTAAGTTAAGACAATGGTCTCTTGAATATAAATTATATATAATCGTGAGGATGTTCAAAAATTAAAATTCTTTTAAAATGTTTAAGTTAATAAAAAATTAAAATAAAAGCCAAAGAAAACTATACTTTGAACAAAGATGATTCCATGGGGGGAAATATACCAAAAATATTCACTGTATTTTAAAAGCCAAAATATTTATGTTCCGAGGCAGAGCATCTGAAAGATGACAGGTTATATTCCTGGCTTAGATTATGGTTAATTTAAATACTACAGCATATTAGCATAATTAACATTAAAACTCATAGGTTACGTTTTAGAAATCTAGATGTAATTTAGATTACTGCATTCACTGAATACAATGGTGAAGTTTTGCATAAAAAATGGTCACAGCATCAAACAATTAAGAACACAGTATAATTTTTCCCTGTACTAAGACATATTTTTAGACATCATGTTTACAACTTTAACAGTCTATTGAGTGATAAAGCTTACCTGAACCAAAAATATAATAAGAAAATAAAAATTTGCCACTCTTCTGAATTGCTCAAATAAATTTTTTGGAACAAAATTCCACACAGTATACTAAAAAGAAAAAGGAGAGATCAATGAATTAACATTGAAAAATAATCTATACATTATATAGATGTAATACTAAGAAAAGTAAAATCCGATTTATTAAGCTATTAAATAAAATTATGTACTTGTGCTTGCTACAAAAACTATCTGGTTTCTAGAGTTCAAGACTTTTAGTCTACTTTCCTTTTTCTTTTACTATTTATTGGCAATTTTAATATAATTTTTAAAAATGAGATAACTGGAACTTATCGATTTTGCTATTAAATTCTTAATGTTTTAGAAGTTGGAGAAAACAGATCTAAAACAGCATCTTAATAATTTATTTTAGACTTGGTTATATAATACAAATTAAACCTAATGCTGAAGGTAAGAGTTGACAAAAATGCTAACAGTGGATACAACTTATTTTATATCGTATTTAGTTCTGTCAGAAAAAGAAGAAATAATTTATTCTTTGTTTAGTATGAAATACGGAAAAATATCTAGAATGTTAAAGAAATAAAAATGCTTTAGATGGGTGGTGCCTGTGGCTCAAAGGGGTGGGGCGCTGGCCCCATGTGCTGGAGGTGACGGGTTCAAGCCCAGCCCTGGCCAAAAACTGTAAAAAAAAAAAAAAATGTTTTAGGTAAGTAATCACTGAGATCACTTACCTAAAATGTCATAAAGAATCTAAAAATCGGGGCAGCGCCTGCGGCTCAAAGGAGTAGGGCGCTGGCCCCATATGCCAGAAGTGGCGGGTTCAAACCCAACCCTGGCCAAAAAAAACCTGTAAAATAAAATAAAATAAAGTTACAATTAAAAAAAAAAGAATCTAAAAATCCCTAATCCTATGCTTACATTAATCCAAAAATTTTTAAAAGGAATCTAAAAATCTGTCACAATGTCAATTTAAAAAGGTAAGACAAGCCAGGCACGTTGGCTCACACCTGTAATCCTAGCACTCTGAGAGGCTGA